CCAAGTTCAATACCTTGAGGTCACTAGAACTGTTATTGTTGCTATGAGGGCAGGTGATGGGTGTACATCTAAACCTAATTAACTTTTGAACTCAAATAGGGATGTAAGGATTAGATKATCAATTTTAAGTTCACAATTAGGATTATTTACAAACTGTGTTGTAGCCATTTTATAAACAAATATGTTTCTTTTCATTTAGCATCAGCGTTTTTGTCTGTCTATCGAACTTTCTATTGTCTTACTAACAGAATATAACTTTGAAATATTGAAAAATGTCATCACAAATCCTTCTGTTACCAAAAATGATATTAGTGATAATAGAAATGTTTTCTGTTTTGCCTCTAGTCTTAGTAAAAAAAAAAGCTGCGAGTTGCCAATTTACTGTTGCAAAACCACAAATCCTCAACACTGGTTTCTTCTGGGAATTTTCTTTTTTCTGTTCCAAAGAGAAGACATGGGTCACTGGAAATCAATTCAGCGAAAAGTTCAAATATTTGCTGCTGCATTTTAAAGTTAATGCAAGAGATTTCTGTTCGAGTTCATCAAGATGTTTTCTCTTGGGTTTAATCCTCAAATCTGATCTGAACTTTGCTTCGATGTTTTAAATGAATGAAAATTAAAGAGTCTTACTGTTCTGTTTGCACAAAATATATTGTTTTTTAACAGCTTTTTTTACATTTTTAACTAGTGACTAATATGGAGAAAAGGTTTTTTCCATGCACATCTTTTAAAACACACACACGCACAAAAATGAGCACTTTTTGTCTCTGTTGCAAAGTGCAAATAATGGTGAACTTTGCAACTTTGTAATCAAAAGTCCCTTTGTTATTTCAGTCTCCACACAGCCTCAACTGTGTGTTTCCAATAAATGGAATTCACCCTGATTAATTTGTCTATATGAACTGTGTGAACTTGATTTGATCCGTTAAAAAAACCTATCTGTTAACTGCAACACATTTAGAGCTCTGATTTGGGAAAAACATGAAATGTTCTCCTTTTTTATTCAGTTTGAGCAACTTTTTTAATATCAAAAAGCTTTCAGAAATCAGTTGTCTATTTATTTAAACAAATCTAAATTTTTGGCTTGCTTGGTTTCTGTTCAAATTACAAAGTTATTAAATTAAAAAGTAAACTAAGTAGATAGCACCTATCGATTAAAACACAATGTTTGAGATAATCAAGGCGAAGCCGAGGAGAGGGTGGGGTAATGTTAGGGGACAGATAATGATGAGAGAGGAACGACGACAGTAAAGGTCTGTAATGAAGGGGAGGTCAAAGGTAAAAGAAGGGGTGAGAAACCAGGAGTCCGGACAGAGAACAGTGACAAATCTGATGAGACCGRGGGGGGAGGGTGTGGTGGAATCAACTGAGGGATGGGAGGATGGATTGGAGTGGTGAGACAGGTTGGCTGACTCAGTCGCATTCCTGTCATCCAGATTTATAGCAGCTCGGGGTCTCGAGACAGGCCCGGAGCCGCGGCCAAATTACAGTCATCGAGAGCATTCCTCTGCTGCAAACACAGGTTAGCGGCCCGGTCGCGCTAAGTGCTAGGTGCTGCCTGTTGACAAATGACTTCCTTTGAAGGGCACAAAGAGAGAGACCCAGTCAGAGAAAAGGCTGTGTGTTTACACTGCGAGGGCACCGAGTCACACAGTCTGTGTTTCTTTTGTTGGAAAGCAGTTTGGCTATAAGTAGAGATGAAGAATGAATATTTGTACGCATGTTTTTACAACGTGGCCACTGGTACCGCAGCTCCTATTATGTGCAGAACATGAGCTCCCACACGTCTACGGACGCACAACGTGACGGCGTGGATAACTGCAGCTTTCCAGATCAGACCCTAASCTGGCAGCTGGTTTTATAAAGATACAGAGCTGGCTCTTGGCATAGGCGAACTAGGCGGTCGCCTAGATCGCCATCTGCTGGAGGGGGCGCCAAACTGCAGAAGAAAAAAAGTAATTATTTGTAATTCCTGGTTGTAACTCTGCTCAGCGCCCCTTTCAGTTAGCTTTGTCTTAAAAAACTATAATGAAGTATTACAGGAAAAATAAACCACTCTACCCATAAAGGTTGACGTTGCACTGACTCATCCTGCTCCGACACTCTGACGGGGGAGGGGCTAGTAGTGCCTCTCAGGTAGCGGTTCGTGTTGAAAAACTCAACAACAAGTCTAATTTGTTGTCCCATATATGTGAACCTCTTCGGACGTTTACCTGGATAAAAAGCCGCAAAAATCCGTAAATTTTGGGAAAAAATGCATACAAATCGCACCGGGGGGCGGAGCGGG